TTTGTATAAGGTTTCTAAGTATTGATTTTGGTCGTCACAGTTAAAATCTACTCACATTATTCGTTAAATAGAGAATGGTGTCATGCGTTGATTTTTGTTACTTTAGCTATTTCTTGACTCCTCACTGTAGTTAGGCGCACTATATTCACTAATTCATCTATGTAGGATAGTATGTCACCAGTCCACCAAGAGTCCCAGGCAAATTTCTCATATATTGTTTACTTTACTTCTTTTTATCTGACATGGAATTGAGGCATATCTCTGCCGAAACTCCAGTTTATATTTTGTAAGTGAGAAATACACTTCAAACAATTTCCAAATATTAACTGAAATTGTGTTTACACAGTGTGCAACAGATTTCTTTCATTCTCATATGTCTCGACTTTATACATCTTCTCAACATGTAATCATATTGATGAAAGTATGAATACTTCTAGAATTAGTCAATACCACATCATATCATTTAAAGTGGATATCTCAGTTGGACAACCTTTTATAACTTACCCTCCTTATCCAACACTCTATGCATAATTATATATGTCTAAACCAAGTTCACTTTTGACGGTTTGAAAAAATTTGGGCATTGGGTATATGATATTCGTTATAATAAAGGTTTTTTGTATTTCCCAATGAATGAAAAACAAAACGAGATTGTTTTTACTGACGTTTCGCTATTTAATGCTAATAGCTTTATCAAAGTATTATGAAACAGGGATTTACAAAATCTCAGCATATATATATATATATATATAACAAAGAGTTGAGGGATGAGAAAATAGACTACTTAGGTCAAGTTAAAAGGACATATTGAAAGTCAAAATAACAATGAAGATCGCTAAACCAAATATCAAAGGTAATAGTACATCTATATGTCCAAACCAAGTTCACTTTTAACGGTTTGAAGAAATTTGGGTATTGGGTATATGATATTTTTTGTATTTCCCAATGAATGAAAAACATATTTAGTTGTCAAGTTGGTCAATTGGTAAAGATAACAAAACTAAGTGTAGATTGTTGGATTTGATCAGTGTGTAAAATTATAAAAGTAGTGTGTGTTTACATAGTAGACATGCTTATCACATTTGTGTTGATTTTGTCACTTCATGGGGGAGGGAGGTGTTGTAATTAGGTCAGATTCTGTTTTAGTCCATCATTCCTATTCAGGCAGTTTGGATTCCACTTGATATGAAGTACTCTATGCATAACCTTAATATTACTCACCATATTATACTACTTAACATGAGATATATAGAAATCAAACATCAGTAGTCAAAGACAACTAGCTTTTTCAGTAGAAGGTATGAGAAGGCTAGCTGTCTCAAACCAGAGACGTTTACGTTCTATCTCCTATGTCAAGCAATATAATATAATGAGTAATATTAAGGTTATACGTAGAGCGGTGGATTAGGAAGGGAAGTCAGTTGATGGGGGTTGTTAGGGTGAGTTGATTGAAATGCCTAGGACACACGTTGCTCACATCAAGCCATTGCCTACTTCAACAGGCGATGTTAGCTGACATAAGATTATGTTGTAAAGGAGTTAGGGGTGGTGAAACCAGTTGGTTTGTAAATTATCTAGTTGGGGTCCTCGAGATTCTAAGAACCAATGGCTTGAGACAATTAGCGATATGACTGAAAATCGTTCTCAGTAGCGCAGATGCATTCATACTTTGTGGTCTCTCATATCCATTGAAACCTAATGTTTTTCCGTGTTACTGTTCTTTCTCTTTCTCACATTGTAACACTTCCGAGTCCATTTTGTTTATCTTTGTGTACTACATGGATTGTAGCTACCTGAACTTGCTGCCCCTCTGTCTTAAGTTCTATGCTGAAATTCAGTCAGTCAGCCAACATTTGATTATGAAAGCTTTTATTCTATGCTCTGCAAAAATTATGATTCCTGCAGCAAGAATCCTTCTGTGGAGTAATATGTACACCAGGTAAAAGTTCAGTCAAACACAAAATCACAGGATATACATTTCGCATAATATTTCCCCTGAGTAATTGTCTATTACACTAAACATGAGTATATTAGGTAATGAATAATTCGAGTCGTGTATATACTCGAACCAAACGGTGTTACAATGATTTATTTAATTCTTTTATAAGTTGTTATGTATCTCGTATAAGTTAAAATAAAAATTAGATAACTTATTCACTGCAATATTCCGTCATTTTTTTTCTTTTGATTAGTCAGTCAGTTATTTTTCTCTCCCACTTTAAATCACCTTTCACCTGGCAATAGCAGTTCCATAAGCCAGTCATCATAGTTAATATATATATAGGCGTTTACTTTTTGACTTAGTTCTTTCTGTTCACTTTTATTACTGTAGACAGTGTGTAATAATTATTATAATATAGAATAGGGAATTTTCTGGCAAGCTTTATGCTTATGTGAAATGGTTTATTGTTTTGGACTAGACACATTACACTAGTTACTGACTAGTGTCCAACCCAAAAATATTCAATACAGTAGTCCTACAGGAGGTTAGTCGATAGCCTGAATAGCACATTAGTAACGTATCTGACTGCAGCACTGGGGCATAGGTTCCTTCAAGGTTGCAGACACGCCTTGCTAACTTGTGAATACCAACTAGCACGAAACCTAGGTGGAAGGCTTCCTGCCGATTATCTCCAACCATCTAATACCAATGATGAATTGTTTTAAAATACCTCATATGTATCCACATATATATATTTATGTGTGTGTGTGTGTATGTTGGTCTCTCTTTCTGTTTGCTCGCTGAGTCTGTGACCATTTCACTTGTATGAACCTGTCTGCTTTAACAATGCATATTCCATTTATATTATATATAATATGAGTGTTTGTTGACAGTCCGTCGCTTAGTGACATATATCCATATATGGTGGTTGTTGACATGTCTGCTATATATTTTGCTATTATAGAGAAGATTTGTAGCTCAGGTGGGTGATTTTGATGTGGTTTTGTTCTCTGAGCTGGATGGTTAGTTTGCGAAGCTTTCATCACCTTACTGGGTGACGTCTTCAGCGCATACACAATTTGTGTGAACTACTTTACTTACTTATCACTTTGGTGTGAGACCATTTATTTTCGTCTCCTTGTGTTTGGACAATAGAAGTATCATCGCAAACCTAGTGGTCTTCTGATTTCCGCCTTCTTGCGTCAGGACTATTAGTTTCTCGACCAGTCCATAACAATAATTTAGCGACGAGTACATAACAATACCTCAGGTTCCTCTTTTGTTAAGACACTTTTCTGAATTCAATCTAAACTGTACATTGTTGTGGTCTTATCTAAACTACTCATCTTTTCAAAGAGGTTAATCCCTATTTAATTATGATTTATTATTATTATTGTTTCCTTTAGTTCCTAAAGGAACATAGGGCTTCAGCGTTACGTCTCCGTTGCGTTCGGTTCTGTGCCAACGTTTTCACCTGACTCCACGTCTGCCCACAGGCTTTCATCTCCTCTTCACATGACCTCGATGTCACCCTCTCACTGAATACCAACTCTCCGCTTCCTATTCGGGTTCCACTCGAGCGATGACCTGGAGTGTGATGTCCCTTGATGGTTGGTTTTCTCAGAGTATGACAAATCCACCTAACTCCACTTCTTCCTGCATAATTGTTGCACTATTGGTTCATGCTGGGTTGGTTCGCTCATTGCCGGAGATCCCTGTTGCTGATTTTCTCTGCTGGCCTGCCATCTGATCTTGAGTAGTGTTGAGCGAAGACAGTTGTTGATGAAAGTGTGTAGTTTGATCGAGGTGTCCTTCGTGATGCGCCAGGTCTCTAATCCGTATAGCCAGTAGCACTAACTTCACATTGGAATTAAAAATCCGGATCTTATCTTTCATACTGAATGCTGAGTGTTGATCTCCACACAGACTTCAAAGTAATGAAAGCTTACCTTCCTTTCCCAATCCTTGATAAAGGAAGTTGCTTCTTTCAAACATCTCCCATACCAACTCCTAGTTAATAAGAGTTGATATTTGGTTTTTATCAATTCTTATTGGTCATTTTATTGCCCCATATTATTCGACTTCTGTTGATACAAATTTAGATTTTTTCACTTTATTGTTTTGTATTAAAAGTCCCAATACATAAATTATGACTCACAGCTTAAGTCATAGCAACCGTGCCTGTCAAGTATACTAGACTGTTTCGCGCTACAGGAGATAGCTATTAAAAAGGCTAAGTGCATTGCTATAATTTATTTTTATATTATGTCAAACAAAAATACCTTAAATACTGTTATTCAGTGAGTCAATGGATTTATATAGACCTGTCACTGGGGCGTAACCGGTGTCATTTGTCTAGTGCCGCCTGGCAGTTGCTGACTAACTTCTTTCATCCAGTATGCAATGTAGTCACCAATCTAGGAGGCACCATCTTGTTGCACTGGAATGGATTTTAGAGCTTCAAGCTTTGAAGTCTCAGTATCGCTTGTGTTTTTTTTCCACGGGATGAGATGGCTAGCCTCACGTCCAGTCCCCCAACCTCCTACTTCTTCTGGTTTACTACCGCCTATGTGAAGCTTAGTAGTGCATCAGTCAGGATTTGAACTTTGGACCATGACTGGTGGGGTATCCTACACTTGAATCACCAACTCACCAAACGAGATTACTCATGATACTCATCAGACAGTACTAAACACAAATCGGAGAATACATCTCCCAGGTGTCTTAGTTCATACAGATCACCTGCATCTCTACTGTTTTAATTCATTTCAATGCAAGAATCACCTACATGATCTAAAATTCAATCAAAAGTTATTCATTATTTTATCTGAAAATGTCAAAAAAACACTTGTTTCCTTTATTTAGTTTGACATAATCCCTGTAACTGAAATTTTAAATTTATTTTATTTTCCCTTTTGTCCTAAAGAATTTCACTTGGTGACATTTTCAATTCTAAGGTTGCTTTTCTTTCCCATCAGTCTTCATCTTCTTCTTCACCTTCTATGCTAATGTCGTCCTCTATTATTATTATTATTGTTGTTACTTTTTTTTCCTTTAGTGTATCTGAATATTCTACAGAAAATATGATGGATGCCTACAATTTGGCAATATGCTTTGGTCCAACTTTAATGCCTGTACCCAGTGAATACAACCAAGTCCATTATCAACCAAGTGTAATTGATTTGATTAAAACATTTATTATACATCATTCAGCTATCTTTGATCCTATCCTACCTGGACCGGTGTATAGCAAACAGAAGAGGAAGAAAGATGTGCATAAATCTGTCACGAGTTTAGATTCACATCGATTATCACTTTCATCTAGTAATGTTGTAGAAATTAGTTCAGATATTAATGGTAATAAGAAGAAGAACAAAGAAAATGATGATCATGATCATGATTTATTAAGATCTTCATCAGTGAAAAAGAATTCTCGTATTACGTCTAGAACACCGATAGAATCTGCTGTGAAACGTCAATCATCAACACGTGTAGATAGTGTACATGAAAAGGGGATACCATCAAAGGAATGCATTAAATCATCAAGTGTTGGGTATGTTTATTGTATTTATCCTCAAGAAATGTTTATTATTATTATTATTTTGATATGGTTGCGTTTTCTGAGACGAAAGGTGTAATTGTGAAGCTTTCATAGTCCCACTAGACAACATCTTCAGCGCAAACTTCATCAATATGAAGTGAATTTATTTGAATTCTCCATGATTGATAATACAATTGTATCTGTTGACAACCATTGTCGTGATTGGTTGTTAATTTGCACTGGCTTATTCTTTATTAATTGAGAAATTCAGTCAATAATAATGTGTCTGTTAATCAGTGATTCATTTGAGTACTAAGCTTCTAGCAGTCTCCTACCACTTTTGATATCTCCACTGTTTAAAATTTCTACATTTTCTCAGTCAAATTGGTGTCCATAGTTGTCTGCATTTATTGATATGAAAGAGTATATGTTGTGTCTTTCGACAGCTAGTTTATGTTCTTCTACTCAAAGTCGAAGATGATGCCTACTTTGACCAATATAGTGTGTATCACAGTTTCGCATATGCCAGTTTACGCCGTCTCTGGCGTAGACGTGATATCCGGCTGGCTGTTGAACAAAGGGCGGATTTTACTCTGTCCTTCTTTATAGCTGGCTGTGAGACATGGCTACTGAAAGTGGAAGACATGAAAGGATTAGCTGTCTTTGGTCATAGGTGCCTGCGCTCTATCTCCCGTGTGAAGTGGTATAATAAGGTGAGCAATATTGAAGTTAGGCTTCGGTCGAGTGCTAGGTAAGGAGGGGAAATCAACAGACGAGGCTGTGAAGTTATAACGATTGAGATGGTTAGAACATGTGTTACGTATTCCAGCCTAGTCATCGCCTTCCTTGACCTACGGGCAATGTTAGCTGGCATAGGGTCAGGCTGGAAAAGAGATAACGGCGGTCAAACCAAAACATGACTTCATCAGGTGATGAAATCTACAACAGTTAGTTTAAGCCAGCCACGTAGGAAGGTGTAGACTTATTGACTGGTTGGGGTCATCGGGACGGTAAAATCCAATGAAGGCTGGAGACAGTTGGTGATATGGCTCGAAGTGATCGTTCACAATGGCTGGTGCATATGCATCCACTCCTTGTGACAGATGATTTCCAATGAAATTATATTGTTCTTCGTTACTACTATTCCTTTGTCTCACACCTCTGTTTACTGTCTCTATTATGCATTTTTTCTACTTTCTTGTCTTGCTTTGTGTGGTACAAGGAGAGAGTGTGGCGACTCGAACTGGTGCACATCGGTGCAAAGTTCTATGTCGAAAATAGACAGACAGACAGTAACACAGTTCATGCAGTTTATTTTGTAGATGGTGTTGATCTTATCCTCTTTGGCTGTTTGGTCTTTTTATCCACACAGTACTGAATGAAGTGGTTTGTATGCTACGCTTATTTCTAATGCTTCAAGTAATTTTCGAAATATTCCTTATATATTATTACTCCCTTGGGTTCCGAGTGGGACATAAGGGGGGGGGTCAACAACACATTTCCACTTTGTTCTATTCACTGTTGTCCTCTCCAGCTGGGTTCACGATTGACCATAATCTCTTATCTTCACCAATTCGCATGATCTCCTCCACGTTACCCTCGCACTGACGACCTACTCGTCGTCTGCCATTGAAGTTTCACTGGAGCGATGGCGTGCATTGCGCGCCATGTCATTCAATGGCCTCCCCAGTGGCGAATGCTCCATCCATCTTCATTTTCTCCTACAGATTTGTTGGACGATAAGTTCATGGTCGGTTTGTTGCCAGCCAGATTTTCTTATTGGTAATTCTTTCTTGCTGGATGGCTGGCCAGCGACGAGGGTAGCTGTTGACAAAAGTCTGTAGTGTCCTGTTAGAAATGCTTTCCGTGACGATGCATCAAGTTTCAAACCCATATAAAACCACAGATTGATTTAATATTTGTGGTGAAAATCCGAACCTTCTTTTGTATGCTGGCTTGAATACAAACTGGTTTCAGGTTGATGAAGGCGTACCTTGCCTTTTCGATTCTGGCCTGCTTTGACATCATCCATACCCTCCCATCCACCTGTGGTTGAAACGATGCTACCTAGATAAGTGAAGGAAGTAACCTTTGTCAAATATCTCCTGTTCATAGTGATTGGTGGTGGTTGTGGTTACTGATTGATGGTGGTAGTAGTAGTTGGTCATCTTCATCATTTCCGTCCTCTCTTTGTTTACCTGGATTCCTGTATTTCTAGTATTTTTATTGTGCATTGAACTTTCTGTAGCAGTTTACACAGACTTTTACATATATGGTAGGATGGATTTTCTTGTGGTTTCTGAAGATGGTTTCTTGTTGGTAATTTGATTTGGATTTAGAGTTTTTTTTTTAAGGTGAAATGTTAAGATCTCCTAGCCTTCTTTAAGACAGTTAGTCGATATTTCTATTCTATTCTCTTCTCCTCAGAACTGGAGTGCTACAGGTCACTTTAGCTCCTTTGAATAATGTTTGTACACAGTTTCTTTTGTGTGCTGTTTGACAATTATTGTTGTAGTTGATAGCGGCAGCACATCACGAAAACACTTTAACTATCTATTATGCTTAAAGATGGTTTTAATTCAAAGTTTATATTTGTCAAAAATTCAGTGTATGCAGGAAAACAGTTATTTATTTGTTTATATTCAAAACAAACTTGGCAAGAGATGCACCAGGCATAAAACTCCGATATAAAACAGGTTAGGGTAATATATTTAAATTGGTTGCATCCTTCTAGTAGCCATAAAAAAGAGCTGAAACCTGTTTTATGTGTTCAAAAATTATTTGTTATTACTTTGAACTTTTGTAATGATATTTTCACTTTCACCCCGTTTTCTATCTTACTTCATTCTGCTACCTCTTATCTGTGATCTTGACCGCCTAAACACACTTTGATATCTATATTGATTCAATTTTGACCTTTTAAATACTCTGTTAACTTATATACATATGATAAGGAAGTATGTGTGATCAGAATGTCCAAAATGTGTTGCGCAAGTACAGTACACATTACTGCAGCTTAAACTACGTCTTCGTATTTGTTTTGTCAAGGCATCTGATTTACTTTGCTTTGCTCTGTCAGTTGGATACTAGTGCTTAAGATCGACCTATTGTTCAAGAATGCTATGCAGCTAATTGATTACTTGGTTTATTGAAATAGTTACTTGTGTCACTGTTAAATGACGGTCAGCTAATTTATTTTGGCAGCACTCTTCAACTTGTATGCTTTATTGTAATCTAAGCAAATATGGAAATGGAATAGAATTGGAGATAAAGTTGTAAATTATGTACATTATTGTGACAAATGGTCACCAAAATGTTCTGTGTCGTTTGTCATCAATGTGTTACCACAACATTATCATTTATATGTAATAGTAATCATGAGTCAAAAACTCTTTGGACTGAGTGGTTAGCTTAGTTTATTGTATAGGCCATATCCTTTAAGAGTTTTAAAAGGAGGTGTGCTGATGTAGTGACTGTTTCTAAATGCGGCAGTATACCTCTGTTGTGTGTTTGAGATAGCTATATGTACTTATTTATTTATTTATTTCACTCCCTTGCTCTCCGAGTGGAACATAAGACGGCATCAAGCTTCTTTGAAGTCTCAGTAGTGGTGTTGCTGACTTCAAGGGATCTATTTGTGCCAGTATTTCCTCTTTACCGGGTTTGCTACCACCGGCTAAGCGAGGTTTAGACATGTGAACCTATTCTGGTTACTAAGTAATCTTATGAACGCAGCTCCACATGCTGCTCTACTACTTATGGACCAGAATTCAAGTCGTCAAAAACTCCATGGGGGGTCATTAAGACAACTAACCCCTTCGATCTGGGCCTTCACACTGTATCCCAGCTCTCGCACAAACTATTCGGTTTTGTGTGGAGTATCTTCTGGTGCCCATAATGTATCAAGTTTTGTTGTAATAATATAATAAGGCTCGGAATCGAACCCTCACTGTTTACGTGACTGGCGAGCATTCTATAATATGAAACCACTGACTCATGTCGCTGTCAAACATATCATTTGTGATATGTTTCTCCTTAATTTATTATAATCTGGTTACTCTATTACTTAGATAATTTAGCCTTCCTTTGAAATCACCTTATTCTTCTACTTATTTTTTTGGATTAACGAACTCTAGCGATCTCATCGATAATGAGACATCGTCCAAACCAGCCTCTCAAGTTATTGATGAAGGTGAGCCTGTTGGCGATGATGACTACATATTCGCTGAAGATACACAGTCTATATCCGATAGTGAAGGTATGTTATTATAGTGTCTATATATATCCATACATGTATAGGTACATTTTTTGGCCTCATTAACAAGTAATCATAACTATTTATTTATTTATTCATTCATTCATGTATTACGTAAATCTATATTTAATTAATTTAGGCCACATTGACGTCATTAGGATATATACAATAAGGTTTTTATTCTACAAGATTAGTATTGCTATTAGTGTGTGCGCGTGTACCAATTAGATTTATGCCTTCAAGGTCAGTTAGGTCATATTACTCTATTATGCAGGGCATCATTATCACATGAATGGCTTAATATTTATTTTATGCGGGAAAGAGAATTTCTACTCTGTTATATATTATCGTGTTATTTATTTTTTCTTATTAAATATAAGCTATAAATGTATATAGATAAACAATACTTTTTGATATACAGGTTGAATATGTATATATATATATATATGGTGTGCAGTAAAAAAAGAAGTCGTTGTACCATCTGATAAATGTATACATGTTCACATTAATATGACTGTTTACATGATTATAAAGTCATTCTGGAACTATACGTATATATATGAAATTTGTGTCAGTAATCCTTAATAGTAATAATAGGAAGATAACTTTCACATTTTTAGATATTCATAAGCAGCTGATGTTTAGGTAAGTAGATAGGTAGGTATTGTAGAGGGGGGCATCAGATCAGATGGATCTGTGCTGTTACCTTATGATATTAGACTGCAGGTACATATTACTTGGAGAAACAAAGTTGTTGGAAAGTCGAATTGTATAGTATATATATATATACTGCATTTTAGAAACTATGATCTTTCATACTGATGTACATAGAATCAAATGCCAATTCTCGTGGAATGGAACCAGAGAATGAAAGAATTCAAGGAAAAGAGAGTATCCCCCCACAAATTGTAGTTCCAGTTGATGTTCATTATAATAGCACTGCATCTCCACCGTCATCGAAGAAACATTTACCAACTGAACACTTCTCTGCAAACGATGTGAATTTCCTCATTGAATCCGATTGCACCATGTTATCACTCTCATTACAGTTGATCAGATTAGGAAGAAGTAAATATATCCTGGAAGTTTCCTCCCCAAGTAGATGTAATTGGGACTGAATATTTTCAATTTTTACCGTGAATTCGCTGTCGTCATCATCATCATCATCATTACTATTAATCACTAGACAACAGTCTTTTAAATGACTAATTTCAGATGAAATATGCTCATATCGTATTTCCAGTTGGCATATAGCTGAATTACTGAAACTTGATCCAGATCTGGTTAGCATATACTCACCATTGATGAGTTCCAGACACTGACGCATGTTGGCATCATCATCCTTATCATTGTCACTACTATTGCCCAAAGATTGTTGTTGCTGGTGCAGTCTACTTTTGTTCCCCTCTGAAATACTCTCATCAATAATAAGAAGTGAACAGGTCACCGATGAATCCTGTTGTTGACATTATTCTGCTGTGATGAGTGTATTTCAGATTCTTTAAAGCCAATCGACGATTCACCGTGGTATTTCTCACTCCATTTTGATAAATTATTATCACTGGTTACTTCAGTAAAACTACTCGTCTTTACAGCATTTGTGCGTCGGTGGCACAGCGGTTAGAACGCTCGCCGACCATGCAAATAGTCCGGGGTTCGATCCCCAGCCGACTCACTCCTTTGCCTCGCCCTCACAATCCGAAATGCACACAAAACCTCTCTAATCCTCACTTGCCTCGCTAAGCCAGAAATAATGCTGGTAAAGAGGAAAGGTTGGGCATGAGGATAGCAACCCCATCCCATAAAAATAACCACCACTGCTACAGAAACTTCAAGCCACTAGCTTGAAACCCTATGTTCCACTGAGAATGTGAAGGAAAACATTATTATTATTATTATTTTCAGAAACAGCTCAGGAAGAGAGTCAGCAATCATAATGCGTGCATTAACGCACAATCACACACAAAGGGGGTGGGACAGATAGAGCTACAGTTCTTAAAAGTAATATAGTTAGGTAGACAGGGGGGTGAGTGAGTGGGAGAGTTTGATCACTTAATCTCACTTTGTTCATCGAGTCTACACCTAGCGCCTCTCATAGGAATGACTCAACACTGATATATGTGGTGTGGTGGAAAATATTACTATCGACAAAATCAGAGGATAAGAAATAATAGAATTTTATATAAACAAAGTTTGGAAATTATGATTATAAGCAATATGTGATCAGTAAGTAATACTGTGTCAGTGTGTGCTTTGTTCAATAAAATTATTGTATTATGAAAGCATATATATCATTGATCAAATTCACACTTTAAAATCTATACAGTTCGAAGGGTATATGATTTTCTTGATACTACAAATAGTAATCAATAACGCAGGCATATTTGCTGATTGATACTGATTCACTGAGATGAGTAATTGCACACCACTGATATCAGTCAGTTGTGCTTGCTAACCAAATCTAGGTGATCTAAACACCAGACGGCCATTTCGTACGTTTGGGGCCGAATCAACCAACGGCGTACCCGGTTTGGCTCAGTTGAGAGAGCTGAATAAGTTTAAATCACCGGATTTCTGCCTAGCCGCTAGTTAATGTGGGTGGTATGCAACTACTCATCTCACTCAATCAGTAGTACATAGTTTTGTGAAAGTATATAGCGTCAGTGATATTAGATGGTTGGAGCCAATCACCAGGAAGCCTTTCTTGTCCTAGGTTTCGTGCTAGTTGGCATTCGCCAGTCAGCAAGGCGTATCTGCAACCTTGAAAGAACTGATGTCCCTTCTGAGATTCGAACCCACGTCATCCAGTGATGCAGTCAGACTGCCAACTAACACGAAAGCTAGGTCAAGCAAGGCTTCCTGTGGCCGATTGCCTCCAACCATCTAATTTCATCAAATCAATGAGCACGTGATGATGAGCTACCTAGAATAGTGGCCACATTGCAAACCTGACTTGTAGAATTCAGTTTGCACCAAACAGAGGACTAGATACATCACACTAGTTACTAGTGTCCAATCAAATATATGTCGTCGGGTTTATTCATCACTGATAGCTTTTAATTTTTTGAAAATCTTTTTACGTTCCCAGTGGAACATGGGTTTTCAAGCTAGAGCTTTTGAAGCTTCGTTAGCAATGTTATTTATTTTTACGGAGGGGGTTATTAGACTCATGCCCAACCTTCCCTCTTTACCAGTCTTATCACTAGCTTAGCGAGGTGAAGGAGTACGTGGGCGGCCGGTGATCGAACCCCAAACCACATGCTTCTTTTATACAGTTGAATGGTGTGCCTCGTTTGTGAGGGAAAAAATAGATTTAATGGTCGAATTTGAGATGGGGAAGTAGTGCTTATTACTACATTAAAATGTTGTATTTGTTACGTGGTTCCAAACGTGTCTGGTAGTTACTTGGTGGATACTTGTTTTTCTTCTAAATGAAGTTAGTTGCATAATTTTTCAATGAAAGTTCTACTTCCATTGGCTTATGTTTTTTTTGCCCTTGTGAATAGATTCTGAACCAGCTTATACATTAGCTGTAGCTCGTGCTGATTTTACTGGATCTAGTGAACGTGAATTATCATTTCGTCAAGGTGATGAAATATATCTCTATCGTCAATTAAGTCAACATTGGTGGGAAGGACAATTAGCCTCAGATAGCCAGGGTACACGTGGTCTTATTCCACATTTATATGTTGTACCAAAAGCAGCTTTATTACATCTTGCAGCAGCAGCAGCCGCCGCGGCAGCGACAGCATCAACAACATGTGATAATCCTGGTAATACTGGAGATAATCAACTCTTAGATGAAATGAATACAGAAATTTCTAAACAAACGGATAGTGGAAGCTTAAGTCACTTGGATAATGTTGATGGTGACGGTGACGGTGATGATGATGATGACGATGTCGATAATCAGGAGGTGGATAACAAAAGTGTACCAGATAATGGAAGTATGCTTAGTTGGAATTGTGCTTCAGAAAGTTCAAATGAACAAATTCTTGCTGATACTGGTGATAATACTGATAATAATAACAATAATACCAATGCTAATAACAGTAAAGTACAACATTTATCAGAGTCTGAGAGAACAGTTGTTATTACCAACCAATCAAATAAACAAGAGACAATAGAGACGTCGAAAACTAACAGTGAAAATACCACAGAGAAAGGTAAAATGATTTTTTCTCAATGAATTAGATTATCATATTATTTAAAATATTTCTTTTTGCAACCACTTTAGAGCGTGTTCTGTTCTGTTCTCTGACCTGCAGAGATCGATGCATCCTCTCTAAATACGTGTGACCGCACATATACAATATAAATCGGTAAAACACAGTTGGATGTATCAATAAGGACGATCTGTCTACAGGGAGCCAACCTGGACAGGAAAGTATCTAGATTATCATAGTTTCTGTCTACTCCAATACATAAAAAGGTGTTAGTTAAGTGTTTATTCAGACGTATTCAACAGGTATGTAGAGAGGATACAATTGAAGAAGAAATATATAACTCCACTAAAATATTATTACATGACAACTATCCTCTGAAATGCATCAAACACTAACGAACTGTCAGACAAATGGTTACAGCGCTCCAATCACCTCCCCAAAAGGATGTTTCGGTACATATGTGGTGAGAGCAGGCTGCTAGCCAATTAGTAGACATTAATTTACGTCAATGTGTATGTCGCTTATATTGGCCGTGAGAAAATATGAACAAGACTGATTCAACAACCAATCACAGCAGACTTAACGTGGGCAAATACGATTCGCAGATATATGGCTTAACTTTCTGAAAACCAGTCACAAGCAGTACAGAATAACCTTGAGCAAGAAGCAACCAATCAGAAGACTGTGTTTGTCTGCTTGAACAAGCTATAATAATGTACATGAAATATATATATATATATACGCGCTGATTTCCTTAATAAACGATCTGTTACCTGGCCCTTGTCTTCTGCTGTTACACATATGATATCCTTACCGTTCAGACGTGATCAGCAAAGTCCTGATCAACACTAAACAAAGATTCAGAGCAACTAAACTCATTTTCATACAGAAGACGAGATTTATGTTATCCTTTAAACTCTAACAGCATTAGAACGATAGTGTCCATATATAATTGTTAAAGCTATATTGGTTAATGAATAATGAAAACTAACGGAACAAAAAGTTCAGCGAAGAATCTCTTTTCGGAGAATTCATTCACTGAACTGTACGGTCAAATTTATAAATAACTACTTTGTGTGTGTGTGTGTGTACATTAAGATTGTCAAACAAGAATAAAAATTAGTTAGGGTTATTGTTTACGTCATCAAAATGTTTCAAAAATTTTATGAATAATCAAGCTGTAACTAGGGGGTACATGAAGATTGGTAAGTATTGACAAGGTTTGCTCAATACGAAAGACGCCCAGAAAGATAGGATGTTAATGAAAGAGCATGGAGACAAGTGTCCAAGTGCCTCTTGCGACTAAAATCTGCAGAATCTGCAGTCCCGAATCAGTAGAAGAACAGATTTTTGAAACAAACATAAATTATTAATTAACAGTAGAAATAAAATAAAACGTTGTATTGTCACCTCAGTCAACTTTGAATTGGTTTCATTTGGCACAACTGTATACGGGAATCATTTTCGCCAAGTATCTTTAAGTTTAACTATAGAATAAAGCTCATAAAACTGTACGCTTGTATTTTACTTGTCTAGTGTATGAAGGGTTTAATATGACCGTAGCTTAATGATTAATTCTATGGATGAAATTCATTAATTTATACTAGTTTAATCACAGACCACTTACAGTTTTAGGAATGAAATCTGTATTTCCATTAGGCTTTAATTAGAATAGTTAGGGGTTGTTTCATAAGGACAACTCACTGACGATCTATTGATTTGTGTTTAATTTTACCGTGGACCACTTGAATTCCCACTGGCTTTCTTTCGATTCTGTTGAATCGCAGCAAGATATCCTTTAATATATTTTTAAAGTCAAACAAATTGAAAACTTTTTTGACACTGATGAAATTCACAATTTGCGATCTATACAGTTCAAGGGGTGAAGTATTCACCACAGTTTCCTTTGAAAACCAAAATTATTCAGGTCATAGTACCTGATGTGATCTGCTTGATACCATAAGTGGTAATCACTAACTCAGGCATATTTTCATAAAACTATATATACTACTGATTGACTAAGATGAGTAATTGGATACCATTGATATCAGCCAGTTGTGCTTGCTAACCAGATCGAGGTGATCTAAACGCCAAACAGTCAGTTCGCCCAAGTAGCTAGCCAGAAATATGGTGGTCCGATTTTATTCGACTCTCTCAGCTGAGTTAAATAGCTGATGAGCGTAGCCTTCCGGTGTTTATATAACTTCGATGTGGTAAGCAAGCACTACTGGATGATATGAGTGGCATACAATTATATATGCAACTACTCATTTCTATCAGCCAGTAGTATATAGTTTCATCCATTTATATCATATTTTAATTTGATTGTCTAAAGATATTTTATTAGAAGCTGTTCGATTTGTGTGGTTGGAATTCATTTAGTTCAAATTCCGCTGAGTTAATGTTAAGTCACTACATGCGTAAAGAGAAAAACTATGATCAAGCTTTATATCATCGTGTTATTTATTGAATGGTGATAGCTGGTAGTGAAATCCGTAATCCACATTTCATCCTGTTTAGGACTTGTAGGCTAGTTGTACCTGCAATACCCAACGAGTGATAGTGTTCCCACTAGGACTCGAACTCAGTATTCTACTGATTTCAACGCCAAATCGTTATTTCATCTTCTCTAAACAACATATAACACTTCGATTTCATTCTGTTTTCTGTCATCGTTTTTAGCTAGCCTCACGATTGCCCATAGTGTCTCATCTCTTTGTCTCACGACCTGCACTATGTCACCCTCGTATGCCTCACTCGTCTTTTCCCACTCACAATTCACTCGACGGCCTGGCGCCAGATTTCATCGAACTGTCCCCGCAGCGTGTATCCGATCCATCTCCGTTTTCTTCTACATATTTGTTGAGTAATAGGTTCTTAATTGGTTCGTACCCAGAGTTTCTTGTTGTCAATTCTTTCCGGTTGACCATCTGATCTCCAGTGTGGAGCCAGCAAAGGCAGCTGCTGGCCTGTTAGAAATGCACCAAGTTTCAAACCGATATAAAAGCACAGATTGTGGTAACATTGATATTGAATAGATTCCAAATTGTGTTCCTTATGCTGCTGATTACAGTAGAATTCCAAACTGATTTCAGTATGATAAAGGTCTGTCTTGCCTTTCCGATTGTAGCCAGTTTTGACATCCTTATCTATGCCGTCTTTCTGTAGGTGAAACGATGCTTCCTGGTAAGATAAGTGAAGGAAGTGATTTCTTTTAGGTGTGTACTCCGTTGATAGTGATTGGATGTTGTTGTTGGTTGGTTGGTAATTTTCATCACCTTCGTCTTCTTCATGTTCTATCTTTGCTGCTTCTTCAGCCAGCTTGAAATTACATACTACTTTTTGGTACAAGTATGGAATTTTCAGCATGTGATATCGGTAGCTCAAATTTATCAGGTCCACCATTGATATCAGATGTGCGTCAGCAAGGGATCGAACCCCGAACCATGTGTGCATGGTCAGCGAGCGTCCTAACCGCTGTGCTACTGACGCACATAATATTAATAATAATAATAATGTATAGATTTTATTTTATTATGTTTATGGCATAACATGCGCTGATAAAACTTTGTACGTGTTATTCAGACACAGGATTTTCGCAAGCAGAAGTGAACTTATTCATCAGATGCATTTTTCTATATGGCTCTCTTATTTTTTTCCTTCTTTAACACAGTTTCTATGCGTAACATTAGATTGAAAATGTTTCACAAATAATTTTAGCTTATTGAAAAGTCTTTTTCTTTTTGTTAAGGTTTATTTTTATTATTTTTGTTTTATTGGAAATGTGATGCAAGTCACACGTATATGTGTATCATTACTGTCTATCGTTAACAATACAAATAAAATAAATAGTTGAACGAACTTGAATGAAGCCACGAATATTATAATAACCAGTTTAATAGTTACTTTTATTTCTATCGTGTTAATTTTATATACTCGTTCTTTTTTTTTATCTTTTGTGAATTTGAAATGTAGATATGAAATCAGATAACTGCAGTGATAATCAAATTTCTGTGCCACAGACTACAGAGTCTGTTGACAAAAAATGTCTACCAGAAGTTGGTGGTTATACAGATAAACTTTTAATGATGCATCGATTTAATCAACGTTCTGCGCTTAGTTATCCAGTCTGTGGACCTTTAGGTTCTGTTCCTGAAAATGATGTTATATCAGCTAGTGAATTAATGAATCAATCATCTCCTACATATAACTCGAATGGAGTAGTTGGTGGTGGTGGTCGACCTTCTCATTCTGTGGTTGAAAGCGGCAGTTCTACACGATTTTTATTCAATTCCGATGTTGATACAGCCTTAGAAGAAGTAGGTTTTATTTTATTTTTTTGTTTTTATTTCAAATGGGATCCCAGTGGCTTAATGGTATACGAGCTCGCCTTGTAACCAGAAGGTCCTGGGTTCGAAACCCGGTGGGTGTTTTTAAAACCAGGACAAAATAGCTGTCCAGTCCTCCCAGGTTTCATGCGTCGGTGGTACAGCGGTTAGGACGCGCTCGTCGACCGTGCACATGGTCCGGGGTTCGATCCCCGGCCGACGCACTCCTTCACCTCGCTAAGCCAGTAATGAGACTGGTAAAGAGGAATGGTTGGACATGAGGCTAGCCACCCCATCCTGTAAAAATAAAACACCACTGCTACAGAAACTTCAAGCCTCTGGCTTGGAGCCCTATGTTCCACTAGGAACGTGAAGGGAGGAAAAATAATTTCAAATGATTTTTTAAAAGTTCGCACTATCTGTGTCTTATAATGTGTCAGTATTGTTCATTAATTTAGATGAAGATATGCCTTTGTGTAATAATTTATTTGCTCAAATGTTGAATTAAGTGATTGACTTCTCAAGCACAGCTATTGTAGCTGATTGACTCAGTTTCAGCACAGAACTTAGAGGAGAAGTGCAGCAGTTCAAGTCGCCCCACACTCCGTGTTTCACACAAAGGCGAAAAAAAGAGACTTAAAAGAAATACAACAAGCGAAAATGTTTATTACTCATATTAAGTCAACAACTTTCTCGATAAACAATGTTAGCTGATGTGCGCCTACGATGAAGAATTAGAAATGGTCGAACCAAAACATAACACTAATCTATGGCGTTACTAACTGCTTATCTAAATTTCATGTGTGCAGATTGCTGGCTACGCTTTAGGAGCTGCTAGCAATCATTAATAAAGTTTTAGTGAAATGGCTCATAATCATTTACAGTAATGCAGGTCTACTCACTCTGTCTTATCGAGACATCACAACTCCTCTTATGCATCTTTGCTTATCGTAGAAAAATTGAAACTATTCTGAAGAGATTCTCTACTATGCTACTTAATTATTTTAAAGTAGTGTAAATTTCCATGTGTTATTTATTCTGACTTCGTTTTCAATGCTGATACGTATTACAGATATGAATAACTAAAAATAGCGCACAGTTACGTTTGTTTTTGTATTATCTTCTTCACCTGTCAATACTTCATTCATAGAGCTGCTTATACTTGTGCGTGTAAACTGTCTGAATGCATAACCTGTTGATTAAAATCGAATGACTAAGTTAATGGATTACAACTCTTATATTTCATATCACAAATGTCTCTGATTTCTTCTGAATGAAACTTTATATTATTTTTATTTACCAAGGTAATGCGTGGTCTAGCCTCGTTGGAGCAAGCGGACAGTCGTAATAGTGATTCGAGAACTTTGGAACGCAATCAAGAACTTACTCGTAAACTTTGTTTACCTAGTGCAAAACATGCTCCAGATTTGGTAATGGATCTTCCTGTAACATCAGACTCTCAAGTACAAAACAATACATCAACCACTAGTGGTTTTACGCACATAGAATCAGGTGACAGTTTTGCTGAACATTTCGCTGAACAAAATTTGGATACAATGCGGAAGCGTTCTGATGTTCATGTATTACCATCTTCATTGGCCTCCACCCGTTTTCCTACTGGTAGCAGTAGTACTACAAGTTGTGGAGAATTAGGTAAAGTTGTTCTCCGTAGTAAAACTAGTCATACAACAACACCAGCAACAACAACAGAAATCTCCAGAACTTCACCAGGATTATCAAAAGGCAGTCCTAGTGAAGAGAAGAGTGATTCACCGCAGACGAGTAATACTGAGCTAACCAGTAGTAGTGGACCAAGACTTTCAATAGCTGCTCGTGTTGCAGCTTTTGAAGGGAATAAACCTGATTCCCCTCGTTCTTCCATAAATTTTGCTCCAAAAATAGCTCCTAAGCCTAAAAGAGGTTAACTTTTTTTCTGTATCTTTAATCCAGTTGCATAAGTCTTTATTTAGCATTTATTGTCAGATAGCTCGATTTTTACAGCTGACATGAAATGCTTCAATTGATGTGTGTAACCGAAATGTGTTACACCCACCTACCTACCTGCACACACAGTTACCCCAAAAATCATTATTCAGTCATTGTTTCTCTCTCTCTCCTTTAATACACTTGTATCCAGGTTAGACTATATATATTTACATACACACACACACACATAATATTACATAGAGTGCTTCCTATTTCCTAAAATTTTTGATAATTTCCTTCATTGTTATATGCATATATTTTATTATTAATATTATTTTTGAATGAAAATAGTCCCCATAATATTGACGCTAATTTTATCAAATGGAATTCAGTAATATATATATATATATTTGTATTTTTAGCCTTTACATCAACTAACTTCTGGAGTATAATTTACTTAATATTGTACATTGTTTTGAACGAGACGTTCTCAATTTTTTCCTCTTTGATTCTTCAAGAAATAAAGAAGGAAAGAAAGAAAGCAAGACAACAACCCCAACCCAACACCTACCAGCATCAGTTTATTTTGATCTCAATATCTTTTATATAATAATGCATACGTACCGCAGACTACCTTTTTCTTTTTATTAACCTTACTGACGCGCGCACCTATATACCACGAATAGCTGTTTGGTCTCTATTTTGTTTTTCCTTCTTCTAATATATAAGGTGTAAATGTGTGTATTGATACTTCTGAGAATCTCATTGCTTTGGGTTTCCTTTTTTTTTTTACAGAACTCTGATCTCTTGTGTACTAATATTAGCATGCATATATATATATATATATATATATATATATATATATATATATATATTAAAGTAGTAATATGCATTAATTGTGGGTGCATTGAGTGTTGTTAATTTTCGTCCTGTATTCACATCTTTCCCTGTCTTTACCTCCACTCCTTTTTATCTTAGTATGGCGGTTGTTTGTTTAGTGGATGATGATAGATGGTTGATGAGTTGTATTCACTCCTTCCTTTCTTTTAAATTCATGGTATATATTTTAAGAAAGAACTACTGTTGTTGTTATTGTTGTAATGTATAACTCACTATCCCGGTATTTTTGATTTTGATTCATCTAGTGTGTTTGATGAAAAAACTTTACTTGCTTAATTAGTCTTTTATCAAACTGAATTTTAGACGGTATATATATATATATATATATATATATATATATATATGGAATTGTTATTAGTATTACTAATTTGTTTCTATCCTATGAACGCCTGGTTTTTGTTTCTCAACATGATTACCCACGATTGATTGATTGCATGTGAATGAAAATTAGTATTGTTCTTCTGTTACCTGGTTTTGGTGAAAGAAACAAGCGTGTCTCGATATACATACATTACGAATGCCTTACATTCTTAATCATTTAGTATACAACACAGTGTTTTTATCCAGTTATGAACGTGAATTGGGGTGCGGTTCAGACCGTCATGAAACAGGTCATTTTTTTCTACCCTATTAATAATAAGTACAACATTAATTAATTCATGAAATACAATATAGCTGTTGTTATGGCAATCCTGTTTAGTACGAGAGAAACTACAAGTTCAGACAATTAATAATATGCGCTTGGTCGAAAGGTCAATACTTACTTTACTTCGGCTATCTCCTACGGGAGGATGAGCCGGCTTCATGAACGTCTCGAATCATCGCTGCCCAGGCGCGGCGATCTGATGCAAGGTTTTGAGACAGGGTTATCCAATTCTTGTTCCACAGACGGAGTCCGTAGACGGTTTGTAGCCCCAGGCACTCCATATCAGCCTTGACTGTACCAAGCCATGTCTTCAGCTGTCCTCCCCTGCGACATCGCCAAGATGGTAATGGCGAGGGATTTAGAACTGATTTGACCAGATCGTCATCTGGTCGGCGCAGAACATGGCCAAACCACCGAAGGCGACGTTGTTGGACCAGTACTGGAATTTGGTTGATGTTGTAGCAACGACGACGCACTTCTTCGTTGGAGAGTTTGTCCTGCCAACGAACATGCAGAATGTACCTGAGGCACCAATGGTCTACTACCTCGAGTCTGCGTAAATCTTCCGCGCGAAGAGGCCAGGTTTCACAGCCATACAGGAGAACGGGTCGTATGGAGGCTTGGTAGACCCGAATTTTAGTCCTGAGACTGATTTCTCTCTTGCTCCATAGAACGCTCCTCAGCTGTAGAAACGCATTCCGGGCGTTGGAGATTCGCGCATTCACTTCGTTTTTCGCTTGGCCGTTGGGGAGCATTATGGATCCCAGATATCTGAAGGATGGCACAATTTCAATAGGTGCTCCATTCAGGGATAAGATTTCATCATTGCTGGTGGATGTGTTCGAAAACATTTTGGTTTTGGAAGTGTTAATTTCCAAACCGATAGTAGACGCGAGGTGGTTTATCTGATCGAGCGCCTGTTGCATATCGGGGAAGTTTTCAGCTAATAGCACGACGTCGTCGGCGAATTCGAGGTCGGTTATGTGAATATCGGGCGAAAGTTGGACGCCGTGGTGCTCGGTTAGGGCGTGCCGCAAAATCCAATCAATTGTGAAATTGAACAGGATGGGGGATGCCGGACACCGCTGGTTACCTCAAAAGTGCGAGACTCTTCACCGTTCACTCGGACTCGAGCTTTGGTGTTGGAGTAGTATGACCTGAGCAGGTTGATTAGCTTGGTCGGAACTCCGTCGAGCTCCATTAGATACCAGAGTGCTCCTCGATCAACTGAGTCGAATGCCGCTTGGAAGTCGATGAAGCAAGCAACCGTCGGCTGTTGGAATTTGTCCCTGTGTTCCAAAATTCTTCGCAGTGTGAATAATTGATCAACACAGCCTCTTCCAGGTCGAAATCCGGCTTGATTTGGCCTTGTTCGCACGTGGCGTTCGGCCGCGAAGCGGTTCAGGAGAATGGAAACAAAAACCTTAGCAGCGATATCAATCAGACTTATGCCTCGGTAGTTCTCGCATATTGACCTGTCTCCCTTTTTGTGGAACGGTAGCAGAACTGAGGTGCTCCAATCGGAAGGAATGGTTTCGGACTCCCAAATTGAGCAGAACAGCGAGTGCAGCGAATCGATTAGCGCTGGAGTGCAGGCCTTGTATATTTCTGGAGGTAGACCATCTTCGCCCGGAGCTTTTTTGTTTCTGAGTCTGTTAATTGTTTTAGCTATTTCGGTTGGAGTGGGTGGATCGCAGTCAACTACGTAGGGTGTTGGTAAGTGTCGTATCGGTCGATGAGACGGTTGACCAGCGTTGCGATTGAGTAGCTGCTTGAAATGTTCGGCCCATCGTTCCATCTTACCATTGGTGTCCGAAATAATTTCTCCTGATGCTGTGCGTAACACAGCATGACTGTTAAGGCGTTTGCCAGATGATTGGCGTAAGAGGCGATAAAGTTTTCCGAAATCGCCTACATTTGATGCTGCTTCCATGTTAGTCGCCACATTAGACCAATAGCGATTTCTGTCATTCCTAGCAGACTGTGTAGCTTTGCGCCTGAGGGAGCGATAAACTGGAGACTTTGCTAGGCGAGCGTCTCTGGCTTGCGAGGATAGATGCATGGTGTGCTCTGAAATCCAGTCTTTCTGCTTCTTGGATGTGGTACCCAAATGCGACATTGAAGCTTTAGAGACTACTTCTTTGAAATGATTCCATCGTGTCTCAGGTGTATTAGAAGATGTGGATGTTGGTTCATCTGCGGCGCTTAGTTCGGCCTGGATTTGTTTGGACAAGGCTTGTCGCTTTGTCGAACATTGAAGCGGGATAACATTGATACGCTTCGGAGGTCGCGCCTTCTGGCGTGTTGTTAAACGAAGTTTGAATTTCGCCCTAACTAGAGTATGGTCTGATCCCCCTTTATTTCCGGCCTCTGCGCCACGATAGGATCGACAGTCTTCCACCGAGGAGATCCAGCGTGAGCGCACTAGGATGTAGTCGATCTGATGTGCAGTGCGACCGTCGTTCGAATACCAGGTGAGATGTTTTCTAGGGTGTTGAAATCGAGTGTTGGTGATATATAATCGATTGTAATCAGAAAAAGCTAAAAGTCTATCACCATTACGGCAGCGCTGATCGAGACCGTGTTTGCCTAGTATATGTTTTGTCGCGTCGTCTGAAGGGCCAGTGCGGGCGTTCCAATCGCCGGCTACTATGAGAACGTCACGCTTTGGGATTTTGTTGATTGCCTCTTGAAGATTGTCATAAAATTCGTCTTTGATACTTTCATCAGAGTCGAGGGTTGGGGCATAGACAGCGAGAACAGAAATGTCGAGCGGGGAACCCTTGAACCTAGCGATTGCAACTCTGGAGTTGACCGGTTCGAATGATATTAGGGCATTATTGGCTTTGTTACTGAGAGCAAATGCTACCCCATGTTGTCCCGAATTATTCTGGGGTCCACTATGAAGCAACCAGAATGAAGAATCTGTTCCAGGTACGGCTATTCGGCGGGAGCCATGATCGGGTAACCTCACTTCAGATAGACACGCTATGTTCACCTTGTAGTCGTATAAAGAACGCATGGTGATAGACTGGCTACCAGGATCCAACAGCGTCCTAACATTCCAGCAGCCAACAAATAGTTGGTTTCTAAGTGTTAATTTCCCAGCTGGCTTACTTTTCACACTGGCCACCGGGTGAGCACAGGGCGCGTCGCTTACCGGGAACGCCGTAGCATGGTGAGAGTTGTTTGTAAGAGAGTTTCATGGGAATTTGGTACGAGTGATGTCCCCAGCATCGCTCGGCAAGGTCAATACTGCGAAGCTACCACCACCATCTCAGGGATTAATACTACTGAATAATTCTAAGCCTGAATTCCATCCATATATTCGCAAAGATGATGCCTTTCTTATCCGAAATGTGTCTGGATAACCGCTTACGTATTCATTTTGGTGTCTAGACTAGTCCTTGTTCTCACTTAATCAATTGAATAAGCCACCTCTACTGTAACACGAACGTTAAAAAACTGTAGTGAGTATACATATCCCCGTTAGTGTTCATTAAAACACAAAAGATCGATGAACACTTGTAACGACAGAAGACAAGGGTAAAGCAACAGATCGTTTATTGGGAAAATAAACAGATATTTATAGATTTTTGTACACATAATCATTCGTTACTGTTAACAGGGAGGCAACGTCTTCTGATTGGTTGTTTTCCTGCCGAAGGTTATTCTGTCATCTTTTTGTTACCGTTTCTTACACAGTCCGGTGATATGTCTGCTAATCGTATCTGCCCACGCTAAGTCTGTTGTCATTGGTTGTTGAGTCAGTCTTTGTTCTTGTTTTTTTCCGCATGACCCCGATTCGGCACGTAAACATTGATATAAATTGCTGTCCACCAGTTTCGGTTAACAGACAGCTCTCACTACACACTGAATAATTTCAGAGCTAGTGGGAAGTAAAAGTACTCGTCGCATTTTTTAAATTCGAAAATATTTCTATTTGATGTTATTAGTTTTGGGCAAAATTTTGACAGAATTATTTAATCAGTCTGAAAATGTAGCGTAACTGCAGTAGATATAGTTGATATGCCCAGGATTCAACAATATTGCTAATATCGTTTTAGGAGAAGTACAAATGACACTAAAAATACTCTTTTGTATAAGGTTTTCTCTCATTGGAACTTCTGAAGGTTATTCATAATTATTATATATGGTATATTTAAAAAGTATTTGATATCAGTAGATGCCTGTGATACTTGTATTAGTATAGCCTAACACCAACACGGTTCAATTTACATAGATGTATTCCTCGTCATAGGGCTTATTCACTGCCGATTTAACTAACAGTGTTTGTTTCAACTCAAAACTAAAAGTTCTATACTTTGTCTGTCTGTCTGGATTCAACATAGAACTTGGCACCGAAGTGCACCAGTTCGAGTTGCCACCTTCCGAATAGCACACAGAGGTAGACAAGAAGATGAGTGAAGAGAATCAATACAGTCTGACAAGTATAAGAGTGAAACATAGTGGGTAATGGTAGAAAGGAATATGAAAGATTACAGAGACTGAATACATCTGCGCCACTGACAACGATTTTGAGCCATTTCACCTATTGTCTCCAGCCATTGATTCCTAGCGTCCCGAGGGCCCCAACCCGGGAGTCTGCATCTCCCTACCTGACTCAGTTTAACTGTCAAGGATTTCATGGATTGATGAGGCCATGTTTTTGTTTGGCCACCACTTACCCTTTTCCAACCTGAACCTATATCAGCTAGCAATGCCCGTCGGGGGAAGCGGTGGTTAGGCATGCGCAGCACGTGACCTAGCCATTTTAGTCTATGTAACTTTATAGCCTCGTCGATTGATTTTCCCTCTTTGCCCAACACTCTACGCCTAACATCAACATTACTTACCTTGTGAAACCACCTAACGTGAGACAGAGATCGCAGACATCTATGATCGAAAGCAGTCAACCTTTTCATGTCTTCAACGCGTATTGGCCATGTTTCAGAGCCACATACTGTTTAAAGGAGCCCTTGCCCTTGCAAACAATTTTGAAACTTGCCATTCATTAGAGGTATTTCTTAAGAAGTAGGAAACTTTCAGACAATCATGTATGCACAAAAAGGCATTTATTTAATGTAGACAACATTCATTCAGCGTATGCGTTCAGTGGAGTTATAGAAGAATGATTAATAGTACTCTTTGTATCATTAAGAAAGCATTTACATTTTATTACAAGTATTGTATAAGACTAATTCTTTGCATAAAAATGAAAGGGTAATATTAACTTTGTACATAACTGGTTTTTTACAATTTTGAATTCCATAAAATATCTCAATGACTGGACAGTAAATTTTCTTAATTGTAAACAAACAAAAAACGGTAACAGAAGGTTAAAATAAAATATATCAACAAATATTCTGTACATAGGTTGCTCTTAAGGTGAGTCGTCGACATCGGTATCCGACGTCATAACAACATATTCACGTGAAGAAAAACCAAATTTAATCACATCTTTTTCTAGGAGTTCATAATAACGTCGGGATTCAATTCTGTTATTGTTCAAGTAAGTTCCATTCGCTGAGTCTAAGTCGATGACATACAAACGAATTGCTCCACGAACCTTTAAGAAGGAATCGGCATACATTAGCATTTATGAGACAACTATTCTGCCATACAAAAGAAATATTTAACACAAATAATTGTAACATTTTCTGACATAAAATTTCATTTGAACAAATAACAGTTTCAGGTCTGATGATGAGTTGACATCAGTTAGAGAATCGTTGGAAAACCTGAGAGTACTGGTTCTACACAGGAAGTTACCTGCAGTTCTATTGAGAAGTCTTAACTAGCCGGGTCAACCAAGTTAGGTAAAAGACCAGTTACTCACTTATGACTTTGACTGGCGGTTTGTGCTACATTAATCGTGAATAGGCAGAATTTGGATTTTATGGGTCATTGGATTGAATCCCAGTGGCTTAATGGTCTACGAGATCGCCTTGTAATCGGAAGGTCTTGTGTTTGAATCCTGGTAGGTGTTTACTGGCAATGAGCCCCAAACTAGGTTGAAACAGCTGTCCAGTACTCTTAGATTCTCCACTCGCGATCGGTTAAATCCTCGCAACTCAACACTTTATAAATAGCAGTTTACCAATATCATTAAAAGACTCCTTTGTTTATCGGTGGTACAGCGGTTAGGACGCTCGCCGGCCATGCGCATAGTCTGGGGTTCGACCGCCGGCCGATGCACACTTGATATCAATGGTCGGCCTGCTAAATTCCGGTTATGGATATCACATGCTGAAAATTCTATAGCTAAACTAAACATACTGTGTGGAGTTAAGCTATAATAAAATAGACAAATATTCGATAAATAGTAGTGATTTTACCAAATCAGTCGTCTACATACAGACTGTTAGATAAGTGAAAAAGCTAAGTTAAACGGGGTTCAATCCCTGGCCGACGTACTCCTTTACCTCGCTAAGCCAGAAATAATGCTGGTAAAGAGGAAAGGTTGGGCATGAGGCTAGCAACCCCATCGTGTAAAATAAACACCACTGCTATAGAAACTTCAAGACACTAGCTTGAAGCCCTATGTTCCACTGGGGAACGCGAAGGAAAAAAAACGGAATGTGAAGTAGAATGAACTCTCCAGGTTACACTGCTGTTTCTAATGTTCATATGCTTAACGAGAACAGAAGTGAAAGAAATGAGTAGTGGAATAGCTTTAAAGTTTCGAAAAGTGAGATGATGTTAATATGAACTTTCAATTTGGAAGTAGTGGCAGTCCTAATTATTATTCTACCTTGACAGGAACTACCTGGTCACAGTAGTTTTATGATATGTAGAATTCATTTTCATTCGTGGATATGTGGCTCAAGTACTTGACTTCCAATCGATGGTTCCTGAATTCGAGGTCTCACATGAAGTGACTCTTTCTCACTTTGAAAGCACTGAAAATTATTAGTAATACTTTACATCTCCGAATCTCACTATGACAGTTGTGAACAAATTCTAATTTTTTTCCCCTTCATCATACTGATTTGAATATAATTATGATATGAAGTAACCGATAAAAATACTCTATGTCAAAGGAAACAAACGTTACTTTCACTACCGATATACGTTGGTTTACCTCTGTAGTCAACATTTTTCACTTTGTAAAAATAATACCGACAGTTACCTCACTTTCTAACTATTTCTGATTCAGTGAGATTGCCAGTATATCATTTAAATTTTCAAAAAAAAGTGAAAACAACCTTAATGATAGAATCTCCTGAATAAATATAAAAGAAATTACAACTTACAAATCTGTACTGTAAAACAGCGTGTTGCTTAGATATACTTGGATGATCCATAGGAATATCTGCTATTTTTCTATCACGACCAATTAGGAATCCACTTTGTCTATGTATGTGTAAAATAGGTAGGGGTTGGTTCCCTTTAAAAGCATATAACCTCCAATGTGTGGTTGGTTTCCTAGCATCTTCTGGTTCATTATACTTTATCACAACACCTTTAAATACATTTGTGTCTTCCGCAAGTTTCCCTTAAAAGTTAAAAAAAAATACACATGATAAGTGCATTATCTAATTTATTCAAGGAAGAATCGACGAAGACAGACGGGAGACAGTCAATCAAATACACTGGGGGTTCTAGTGGGAAGCCGTGACCATTAGGGTACAGCAGGTCGAAGATGAGGCAGTAACCGATCGAAGAAGACATTGCGAAATGGTCGCGATATGTCGTGAAATGGCAGAAGTTAGAATTCAAGAACCATTGGATCGGTTCCCAGGGGCTCAATGGTCTATGAGCTCGCTGGCCTTGTAACCAGAAGGTTCGGGGTTCGAACCCCGGTGGATGCGTACCGCTGAAGAGTCCCAAACCAGGACGAAACAGCTGTCTAGTACTCCCAGGTTTTCCAGTGGTTCTTTAACTGATGTCAGCTAATCATTAAATCCTCCATACACACAGGAGATAATCGCATACTTTATACAAAACATTAAACACCTTATAAAACTGAAATGTAATAAACAAAAAGGCAAAAACGGAAAGTATTATACCGAATAAATCATGCCACTTGTATCTCTAACCAGAATATTATTGCCTTTCAAGGCTCATCTTCATATATCTTATACTTAGTAAGGAAGAGAAACATAAGACAATAATTAAGCTTGAGTGAATTAATAACTCAGTCTTAGAATTCTGAATAAAAATCCAGTCTTCACAGTTAAAAACCAGAATATTGACTTGTCAACAGGGGCAGAGAGAGAAAGAGAAATACAGTGCAACAAGTTATGCTTCCGATTGCTTACAGATGTAAGTAGCGCATGTTTCAACGATAAAATGTTGACATCTTACTTCCGGAGATACTAAGTGAATAAAAGCTTTAAAAAGTTAATAATTTATCTCACTATATAATAAATAATCACTTATTTTTCTAACAGCGGCATACTAAACACCAAGTTAGAATAGGTAACTAAAGTTAATTTGGTCAATATCTTCAGGAACCCGATGACCATTATAAAGCACTATTCGTTTAGCCTGTGTGGCACAAGGCCTACAATAAACTGATTTTATCGTAACTTTAAGCCGCCAATTTTGCCGTGGAACCATATGACACCTTAAGGCTGTGAGGTTTGTGCTTTTATGATTGATTGGTTTCAACGTACAACTTTGCAGAGACGTGCATCAGTTCGAGTTGTCCACTCCACAGAGCACACGAAGTAAGAGAAGAGAGTAAAGAGAGATTCGAATGAGAGATCATGAACAGAAGTGTGAGGTAAAAAGGATAGTAAAATGGAAGAACAGTAGTTTTTTTGGATATGATAAATCATAAAGAGGCAATGTAACTGCACCAGTCATTGAGAACGATTTTGAGCCATATTACCACCGATTGTTTCTAGTCATTGGTTCCTACCAACCCGAGAACCCCAGCCATGAGGCCAGTCTACACCTCCCTACGCGGTTGGTTGATTTAAAATAGCTGTTGTGAATCTCATTAACCAATGCCATGTTTTCGTTAGGCCTCCACTAGCTAACTCTTTTCCAACCTGATTCATCCTATGTCAGCTAACACTGATCGTCGAGGAAGGCGATAGCTAGACATGTGTAACACATGTCCTAACCATCTCAATCGATGTAACTCCATAATCTCATCCATTGATGAGATTATCACATATTAACACATAACTTGGCTACACCGCCCAAGAAGGATAGAAACACACTTACGCCGCAGAGCAAGAAAGTCACGACAAGCAAACCCGATCTCTCTGACAGGTCTCTCATTCTCCACAAAGTGGAGGAGTCACTGGCCCTCGATCTTAAGGCCAGATTCGAGCATGACCTTAACTTGGTCAAGCCCCTTTTAGACAAGCTACTGCCACAAACAGTATCAGGCATTACTATACACAGCGTATACAGAATAGGCCAAAAGCCTGACCCTACAGTAAGTGAACCTGTACGTCTCCTCAAAGTCGTACTAAACTCTAAAGAAGAGAGGGATGCTATTCTAAGCAACTCTCATATTCTCAAAGGATCAGGGATATATGTCCGCGCTGACTTAAGCCTAGCAGACCGTGTCAAAAGACAGGCTGCGGCACTAGAATTAAGCGAGAGACGCCGAGAAGAACCTTAAGATTAAGGGTTTTCGGGTTGTCCGAGTTCGCAGTTTAATGATCCCGAAACCTCTGTGGGTGGGCTGGGGAAGCACCAATCTGAATTAACAGTCTGCTACACAAACGCCCGCAGCCTGTTAAATAAAAGGACTGAGCTGGCTAACATGATAGAAACCGGAAACCCGGATGTAATTATTATCACAGAGACATGGCTCACACCCGATGTCACTGACAACGAAGTTAACCTGCCAAACTTCGAAGTGCACAGGGTAGACCGACTAAACCGCAAAGGAGGGGCGTAGTCATCTACCTCAAGAAAGGCTTAACCGTGCGTAGTATCGAAGCACTCGCCCACGAAAGTGAGTCGTGCGAACTTCTACGCTGCAGACTTAAATGCATAGGCCAAGACATTGACCTCATTGCTGTGTACCGCAGTCCTGACTGCAGTGCAGACGACTTCCTAATAGAGAAGCTAGGCTCCTGGACTTCAAAATGTCGAAGTCTCGTAGTCGGCGACTTCAACGCCCCAACAGTTGACTGGTCGAGCCTAACAACTCCATCTTCAGTCAACTCCTTTGATCATAAACTGCTAGAATCTAGTATATCGCTAGCCCTAGTCCAACATATCATTAAGCCCACGCGCTATGACTCACAGCACTCCTCGTCAACTCTGGACCTAGTGTTCTCCCACGGTGAGGATGTGGATCTCATACAACATCTTCCTCCGTTAGGAAGAAGTGACCATGCTGTGCTCACTTTCAAGTTCACAGCAAGGGCCAAAACCCCAGCTCGACCAAACGTTTGGAAAGCTGACATAAATGCGATCGTCTCAGCAGCCAACTCAGTAAACTGGTACATCAATCCAGAGTCCCAAGTAGAAGCCGCATGGAACCAATTTAAGCAACTTTACGCCCAAGTAACTGTACCTTTTATCCCTTGGTCTGTTCCAAAGGGTCGGAAACATTCCCCCCTTGGATAAACCGGGAGATTCGTAAGTTACTCAGACGTAAACGCAAATGTTGGAACCTGTTTGCAACACTTGAGACTTCTGAGACCAGGGAATTATATAACACTGCTAGAAATAAAGCTATCGCAGAAATCCGCCAATCAAGGATGAAGTTCGAGGCACACCTGGCTCAAAATGCAAAGGCACAACCTAAGAAAATTTTCTCGTACTTGAATTTCAGGAATAAAACACCCAATGGTGTCCCAAACCTGATTATTGACAAAGATACAATCGAAGAAGATCAAGAAAAAGCAGAAGCAATGGCAAACTACTTCTCCCAAGTCTTCACTCAGGAGTCATCACTGCCTATAGGATCAGCTCTGGCTGCATCAGAAGAACATGGGATAGATTCCGTTGACATCGACCAAGGCATCGTGCTCAACTGCTTAATGAAACTAGATGCAGGAAAATCAATGGGTCCTGATAATCTTCATCCAAGGCTTCTCAAGGAGCTATCAGCCCACATAGCCGGCCCCTTGACCACGATCTTCAAGCTATCTCTCCTAAATGGAGTGTTGCCACGTGATTGGAAAGACGCCATAGTAACCCCCATACACAAAGGAGGATCAAGACAAAGCCCTTCAAATTACAGGCCTATCAGTCTCACCAGCACTTTAATCAAGACACTGGAAAGAATTATCAAGAAAAGCATCATGGCTTATCTGGAAAATAGCAGCTTGTTATCTGGAGCACAGCATGGCTTCCGGAGGAACCTCTCATGCCTGTCAAATCTCCTGACTGCAAGAGAAAGCTGGGTCAAATCAAAGGACAACAGAAGACCCGTTGACGTCGTCTTCATAGACTTCAGTAAAGCCTTTGATAAAGTACCTCACAAAAGACTACTCATGAAATTGGAAAGTCTTGGTATCAAAGGCAGATTACTAGACTGGCTCAGGGAATTCCTCATAGATAGGAGGCAGAGGGTTAGGATCAACTCAAAACTCTCCTCCTGGACAGCAGTAAGTAGCGGAGTGCCACAAGGCACGGTTCTCGGTCCTCTCCTTTTTATTCTGTATATCAATGAGTTACCTCTGCTCACCGACTCCCCTATGGTCCTATACGCAGATGACTTAAAAATTTGGAGAGAGCTGAAGGGCAACAGTGATACGTTCACGTTGCAAGAGGACCTCAACAAATTGTCGGAGTGGTCTGTTGAATGGATGCTCCCGATCAATGTGGCAAAATGTGCAACCATGCGCATTGGACAAGCAAGCACAAGCTCCTACGAACTAGAGGGAATAACACTTCCATCAGTTCAGACTCACTTGGACTTAGGTGTCATAGTTAGCCACGACTTAAAAACTACAGCACACTGTCGCGCGGTGGCTGCACGTAGTTTCAGGTCCTTATGGGCGATTCGCAGAGCCTTTACAAGAATTACCAGAGATATGTTCACCTCCTTATATACATCTCTGGTTAGGTCAAGACTGGAAAACTGCATCCAGGCCGCCAGTCCTTGTCTAAAAGGGGATTCACACATTCTAGAAAGTGTTCAAAGGAAGGCAACACGTATGGTTCACGGCATAGCTAACTTATCATACGAGGAAAGACTAGATAGTTTAAATCTCTTCTCACTGTCATACCGTAGGCAGAGAGATTTAATCACAATGTTTAAAATTTTAAATAATGACTACGGACCTGACCTATTCTCTCTTTTCCTTCCCACCAGGTCGGAACACCTTAGAGGACATAGCAGGAAAGTTCAAAAGCCAAGGAGAAATCATATTGCTGTTGAGTACTGGTTCTCACATCGAGTCATAAACTCTTGGAACCGACTCCCAGAAGAAGTGGTGTCTGCAACCTCAACTGATTCGTTCAAGAAGGGTTTGGACAACCACAGAAATCTACTAGAAAAGGATTAACATAGGCTCTAAGCCTTCTATCCTCAACCAATGAATATGAATCTGTATTAAACTCGGCAGTATACAAATAGTGCATGTAATTTGATTCCTTTTTTAAATATCCCACTATCGAAATCATGTTTCATCTGCATTAACTTAAGCAAGGCAGTATGAAATCTCAAAGCAAGTGTGGTGAAGCAAGGGACGTACATCGAAACAGAGCGTACATGAGCTCAGGTTGCTGACCATATATATATATATATATATATATATATATACGCACGCAAATATAGACTATTTTGGATACTGTCCCGCGACGGATCTATTATTTCGACGCAAACATACCTATACGACTGCATTTCGCAAGACTCAAAAGCAGAAATTACTACACTGCAAAAATATACTTCTAAGCATTACGTGGAAGCAGTAATATCCGTTGCATCCTCTAAATTAGAAGTCGAATCATTCAAATCTGCTGTGAGCATTCATTTCACCTTACAAATTAGAGAATATGTAAAATTAACTCTTTCGGCTAATAGATTCAAAGCTGTTTGTCGGGTAAGTTAAAATTACAACAAAAGGACTAACAATTACCGAAGTGAAAAGAAGGCTGTTAGGGAGCTTCGGTAACATTCCCGTATTAACGTCTTACACACTATTATGCAACTCGTTATGAAAAAGTGAGAAAACATACCTGATAATTCAAAATTTGCCTTTTGCTTTGCAATTGGGGCTGAATTTTTGTCCAGAAGTCCACTTCTTCCGAGATTTGGTTTGGCGTCACTGACATCAGTATCATCCCTGAGAATTACAGGAGAGCTGACACGGCCACGCCGGGGAGGCGATTCATCTTTTATTATTACTGGGTTGCTTAATCGATGTCTAGGAGGAGGGCTGTAAGACTCTTTAGGTTCTTCTTTGATATGTATATGTTTTATATCATCATGATGATCACGCTTTTTGTCACTGTAGGATCGAGGAAGTTTGGTAGGGCGCAGGAACTCTCCATCTTTTACTTTATCTTCTTTGAATTTGTGCTTGTGTTTATGTTTACTTTTAGACTTCTTGTCATGATGCGACCTCTCATCAGAAGAGGACTCCCCCATTGGCCAATTATGAAGGTCAAATCCAACTTCGCCGCTGAGTCCTAGAATCCATACTATGTCCAACATCTTCTTTGATGACCCTGCCTACGCCAATTTCCTTTACATCATTTTATTCTTTGCGTTGACGAGCGTATTCGGATTAATTCGGAGCACTTATCCTTCACATTTAGCCAACTAATTGCTCTGGATCTAAAATTAAATAGAATTCCATAAAATGCTCATTATTTTCATTTGGATCTTAGAAAATGTGTCGATCTTATCTCTTTGGTCCTTTACGTTCTCTCGGAACTTATTCAGTTTTTCGGTCTCACTATTTGGTCATCCAGTCTATTTGTGACAATCTTGTAAGCACATAACTTGCTGTCTATAAGTTTCTGTGAGGGCTGTCAGTATTCTTCCTACAGTGTACCTCTATTCGCTTCTGATTATAGTATAATCGATGTCATATTCGAAAATGGCCACCATATAACTGGTGTTTTGATTGCACTAAATCTCACCTGTTATTTGTGGCACAGTGGAAAGCCTGTGTCTGTAGATCTGCTCTAGGGGAGTCAGTTCGACACTCGGGGATTTTACTGATGAATAATACAGTTAAGTCAAGTGGTGATAGGGCACTATCCAACATATTGATAGGTAAATGATCAGATTTAATTGAGTAGCCACTTCTTTGGCCGAAGATAAGAGACTTAGGAAGTTAGCTAATCCCTTAATATAAAAAGCTTTTGCCCGCTTGTTCTGTTTTGAAAATTCCAGATAAAGGCACGGACACCACTCCCAATACAGAGGCGCCCATGCGAATCAGTATGGCGCAGGTTTTTACGTAGTGACTTACTACAACTCTGAAGTTAGCATAAATCTGAGATGGAGCGAGAGGTACTGCCTCGATATCAAACACGCCGACGCTTACGTATTGCCTATGTTGATGCGGACTATGTCAGTGGACAGGATCTAGCGTAGAGGAACATGGAATATTTAGTTAAGGAATTCGCTAGTATAAATGAAGTATTCCGTCACTTGATAGCCCGCTTAGCACAGTCATCCATAGAGAAAATTTAGAGTTAACCCTTACCGTCTGTTTCATACTGATAATGGGTAGACTGAGTCAGATCCAGTAACCTGTGAGCTCTCCGTTAAGAAGTCATCAAATTCTACTCCAGGCTTCGTCAAGGCTACGTCGACTTGCTTATCTGTCTCATGAGATTTGTCAAGTGAGTGACAAATTGTTCTTAAGGTCTGTCGGTTGTTACTATTGGGAATTTTAACTTGAATGAAAGTAGGACAAAAAGCACCATTACTTCTCAACCCTAACAGGAAATAAAAACCCTCTGACAAGGCAAAGTTTGCCCATATTTTTCCTCTTGCTTTTGGTGGCAGGTATTTTTCGGCCTCAAGGCCAAAATTTCGTGCGTGATTTTCTTTCTGAGCCTTCTGAGCGACGATATCTTGATGTATGCACTTTCTTCTTTATCCACCATCTTTAGGTTAATTCTGGTTGTCACTTTCTAAATTGATTAGGTGCGTTGTGCCTGTAGCTGCACCTTTTCTTCCTAGGTGTTTTAGTGAAGTTGATGTTTAAACAAACGACTGTTGAATCCAAATCTAAGGTTAGGGTTGAACGTGAAGCTGGCTAGTGAGAAGTGAAACTGAGAAACATAGTCAAACACTTAAGATCATTCATCTCTGGATAAATAAGATAAACTTGCAATGCGTAAAGAAGATATAGTTCCTCGGTTTTATGTCTCCTTCTTTCGTATTCTCTTAGTCACAAGTAGTAGTTCACAGTTATTCCCGTGTGACCTGGAGACTAGATAGTGCTATCCTGCTTTCGACCAACATCTCAACATAACCGTCGGGTTTCAAACTGACGCAGAAAGCATCACCGTTGTCCTATTTGTGTTGATCGGGCTTTAAATTATGTCTACACTACGTCCTTGTGCTACGCCTAGCTCTCTGCATCAATTGTTTTTTGCTGCTGTAGGAGTTTCTACACAGCCGCTATGGTGAGGAACTGGTGCTGCAGTTATCTGTTGTCTGAATTGGACGGCAATCCAAAAGGACAGTTGGATATATTTCTTCAGGGCCGCATAATCTAGAAATACCCTTGTCAATGTAGTTGAAGATTGAACGATCAATTCATGGTTGTTTGCTCAAACCCAACTCCTCCATATTTTTCGTGGGAGTCATCAATCCAGCTGTCATCCTCTCATCGTTCGCTGTTCAAAGGAAGATATAAAACTATCAGAAACCCTGTGTGTAATAACCTTATTGTTGGTTATATATTGGTGTAAGAATAAAGGATTCTCGAGTCGCCACTCAGTGTTCTGATCTTTCGCGTTGGTTAATGCAAAGTGTTTCTGAAAGTCTTCGAGGGACAGCTTGAGGTCCAGTGTAGTAAGAGCTGGACATTGACAGTTTATGTGAGTTGGCTGACAATCCTTGACAGTTAATTCTTTCGTATCCATTTAGTGTAGACTTATCACCTTCTCATACATGCTGCTCAACTTACTTCGTTGATTATGATGTCAACTTCATTATACGGATGGAATAACCAAATATATGGGAATCTTCAACTAAATCCTTGTTTGTGGAAACGCTGATTCTCAATTAGGCTTTTATTCCACTTCAGGAGACAAAGGTAAGCAAAACGACTGAGGGAGACAAGATGTCTGACGCTTAATCGATCTCAAAAGTCCACAAATGATATAACCATGAATTCTGAGGTTAGTTTTGCATGCTGTTAACCGTGGGCAATGGTATACGTCTCTCACTCGATAGTTTACCTTTAAAACAACTTGTGCGAAGTTCTCTTTTTTCCTTCTAAGTGTCACAGAACAAGACCTAGAAAGACAAATAACACATCTGGAGCTCAGAGACAGCGTGAAAGCACAAAAGCTTTTGACCGGTAAGCGACGTATAAAGCGTATAAGAACGGCACCTTTACTGGAATAAATTGAAGTTCATGGACAGGCTTTTGTAACGATCGACAAGATAAAAAATCAACACTAACCCAAACACCCTTAAAAGTTTGCACGTTGTGGGCTTATTTTCTTCAAATTGCATTTTCAGACATTCTATACAACTTCCAGAATGGTATTTAGACTTTTCAACTTCTCGAATTAAGAACATGTAACAGCCTGAAGCTAGTTGAGATATAAAATGGGTCCTTGTAACAGTGTAGAGTACGGGAATACCGTGATTATGACAATTGAAGGTCTGTGTTTAAGTGGCTGCGAACACCAGTTTTTCACCCAAAGAAGATGTTTGCAGCCTCAGCTCTCAAGATAGGCATAACCCAGTATTTAAATTGCGTCTTCAGTTCACTTTCTGAAGCACTTTCAACAAAACTAGGAGTCAGTTTTCTTGCTTTTAGTATTATCAGCCAAGTCTTATGAACTGTCAACGTTCAGCTCTTACTACACTGGACCTCAAGCTGTCCCTCGAAGACTTTCAGAAACACTTTGCATTAACCAACGCGAAAGATCAGAACACTGAGTGGCGACTCGAGAATCCTTTATTCTTACACCAATATATAACCAACAATAAGGTTATTACACACAGGGTTTCTGATAGTTTTATATCTTCCTTTGAACAGCGAACGATGAGAGGATGACAGCTGGATTGATGACTCCCACGAAAAATATGGAGGAGTTGGGTTTGAGCAAACAACCATGAATTGATCGTTCAATCTTCAACTAGATTATAATAATAATAATAATAATTTATTTTCATATAAACATAAATTTACATGAAAATGCATGCCATTTTTACAGGCACGATCAAGGATGATATAATGTCAAATCTTAAATTGTCTACAAGTTAATAATGTTTCAACAGTTAAATATTTGATATATATATAAATACACATTGTCTGAACTAGGCTGTATAGTTATTGAATTGTACAGTTGTCCTTCAGGTTGAGCGGGAATATCGACTTCGTTTCGTTTTCATCCCGTGGTTGTAGGCATACGATAACCAACCAATATTGAGGTAAGTACAACGTTTACAAGGAATTGGAAGCTGTTTCAGAAAAATTGAAGTGCTGTGGTGAAACATTAAAGTGTAATAGATTAAGTGAGTGAAATATATCATTAATAAACACATGTATATAGAAAACAGAATGGGGAGGTAATTAATCCTTAGGCCGACAACGTTCATTTGCAATGTATAATGAAACCAATATATTTTATACTATCATGGTGTCCATTTTTGGCTTTAATACAATTATTTTCAAGCCAGTTGTTTTTATTTCATGTCTTTTTTTTCTATTTGGTGCACAACCGTACCCTCTAGAGAATAGGGATAGAATAAGTCGAATCAAATTCATAAAGAGCTATAAAATGTTAGGTTTAATGGAATATAATGAGAATCAAGTAAAGACGTTATTAGAAAATAAGTGAGACAAGATATTATGAAGTGGTATTTAAAGATCTGACAATGGATAGCAAGTTAATTTATAAGATGCCCCATAAATCTGTGCAGATCCCACGTGGTCGCATCTCAACAATAGGCTGAGCGAATGGTATATATTTAAAGGTAGAAGCATTATCTGTCAAGGCGTTCACTATTATCTTTTTCAAGATAAAGATCTAAGCCCTCATAAAAATCAGAAATATCTCGAGCCTTTAATTTGTATATTGCTGTTCCTGCAGAATGGGGCGATTCACCTTAGTGACCACCACCATATCTACTGATCAGCTAGCGCCACCCTCCCTCCCTGGCAATAAATGGATCCATCTCTTTTTTAGATCACGACCAATACACGTCGATGGCATTGCGAGAAGCTGGGCCACGCGGACAAAGCTGAAATAGAAAACAAACAGCAAAGCCAACACACCACAGGCATACTCACAGCACAATCAAACTCATAGATGACGGCCTACGCCTTCCATTTAAATGCATCCACTTGACATCTTGTAACATAATCGCCACTTGCTAGAATGACTCTTGCAGAACGCAACGTGACCATAGCAGCACCTCATGATACTCTTCGCACATCCCCTTATCTATTCACTACCAATTGCCACTGCAATCGCTTGTCACTCATT